AAAGGCCCCACAGGAACGGTGGACAGCAAAACCCAAATCAGCACAACAGGGCTGAAGTGTACACGCTACGACCTACGACAACGCTGGACGGCCAATCCCGAAGAGGTCCGAACAGACACAATTGAAGGACAGCCAGGGATGATGCTTGAAACACACAAAAGGAACGATGGACGGGACAATCCAAACCCTGAGGAAAAGAAAACACCAAAGAAACGACAATTAGCCTACAAGAACGATGGACGGCAAAACCCGAACCAAAAAACAACACAAAGCCAGATTAACAAACCTTCAACACGCCAAAGGGCTGAAGAACTGTGGACGGCCCAACCCGAGCCACAAAGCAGCACAAAGGAAGGACAGCAAACCTTCAACCCTGAAAGGGCTGACTCTCGAAAGGCCCCGACAGCACGATGGACGGAAACACACGAAACCCAAAAAGAGCACAAAGGAGGGGCAGCCAACCTTAACTGGCCTGATGCGTGAAACCTCCCAGCGGAGCGGTGACTGCAGAACTCAAAAACAAACACACCCTAAAACAACACAAACCCAAACCCTCACAGAACGGACAGACAACAAACCTTGAACCACACAAGCAGGCTGATGTGTAAAACACCGTGCGAAGCCTTACAAGAGCGATTGACCGCACACGGGCTGATGGCTTCCGGGGGCCCAATGGAGCTCAAAGGAAGGACAGCAGACATTGAACCGGGCTGATTCGTGAAAGGCATTGCAAGAACGATGGACCGCAAATCCCGAAACGGAGAAGAACAAAAGGAAAAGACGACAAACCCTGCACTAAAAGGGCTGATGCGTGACAAACCATGCAAGAACGATGGACGGCAAAATCCAAACCAAAACCCTACAAGAAGGTCGACGACAAAACCCAAACCCTAAGAGAACAGTTTGAGGAAGGATAGCGAACATGAAACCCTAAAACGGGGTGCTGCATGAACCACCCTACAAAAGCGATGGACGGCAAAACCCATGCCGAAAAGGAACAATGTGCCAAACACCTTACAACATCGATGGGCTGCAAAATCCGAGCCCCAACAGAACAGACAACGCAGCGCGGCAAACGTAGAACCCTAAAAGGGCCGACGTTTGACAACACCCTAAAAGAGCGATTAGCAACACAACTCAAACCCAAACAGAAGACAAAGGAAGGAAAGAAACACCCTGAACCCTGAAGATGCTTCTGCATGACAGGCCCTACAAGAATGCTGGGCAGCAAACTAACGAACTAGGACAGCAAAACATCCCACGACAGACGCAGATGAGCAAACCTTGAACACTGAAGAAGGCTGAAGAACCGTGGACGGCAAAACCTAAGCCACAAAGCAACACAAAGGAAGGACAGCAAACCTTCAACCCGAAAGGGCTGATGATCGAAACGACGGACAAAAGGAGGGACAGTTTGACCGGCCTGATGCGTGAAACGCCCTGGCAGAACGGTGGACTGCAAAACCAGAAAAATCCCCAAACAACACACAGTTAGGACAGTGAAGCTTCTACCTAAAAGGCCTGATGCGTGACCAGGACGACGTTCTCAAAATATCGATGGAATGCAAAACCCAAACCCTAAACTCTAAACAAATACAAGAAGGGCGACAAGCCTTGAAAAAACCGAAACCCTCAAAGAACAGACGGACAACAAACCTTCAACCCTACACACGGGTTGATGTGTAAACACCCTAACACCCTACGAAGGCTTACAAGAACCATGGACCGCAAAGCCTAAACCGTAAAACCCACAGCAAACGGGCTGATGCTTGCGACGCATTACACGGACGATGGACGGCCCGCGGAAGCCCAACAGAAACTAAACCAAGGACATCAGACATCGAACCCTGGAATGCTGATGCTTGAAAGGCATTGCAAGAACGACGGACTACAAAAAAAGAAACACAATCAAAACACGCACGCACGCACAGCACCGGCTGCGAGACTAAGGGTAAAAGCACTTTCAGCTGATGCCCTTGTGGCTGCGAGCGCTCGAACAGTGTTCCCATGGCGGGTGGAACAGCCACTTTTTTGTCGACTCAGCCCCAGTGCTGGTCAGCAGCACTTTCCCACGACTGATAGCCCATGAAATAAAGTGCGAGTGCTCCGAGTGCCAGGCATCGCCAGCGTCAGCACCAGGATGGACATCCGCATCGTCAGAGTTCGACTGACCTGGATGTTCATCCGTGATCTCAAGATGCCATAACCGGACAATTTGCCGAAACAGCATTGCTTGATATGGCAGCATCTGACAAGAAGCAGACACAGCCACAAAACGGAAACCAAAATCAAACTCATCATCGTCATCATCAGCATCATCTTGTTCTGATTCTGCTTCGTCGTCTGCCAACATGTGGGTGTTCTCAAGGTTCAACAAGACATCCCTCAAGAAGCACATACTGTGTCACTAAACCCAATCCTACCCAGCGGCTTCGATTCGCTGTCGAGTGTTTATCATGTAGCAAGACATCCGGGCGCAACAAGCGCCATCGACGCTTGCTGAGCACACAATTGAATTGTACAGGTGACAGCCGTACGGAACAATGCCAGAACCAACTATCAGCGTCATCAGCCATGACCAACACGGTGCGAGTCACGCCAAAACTGCGATTCGGTACTTAAAACTAGGTGCCACATCTCTACAGGACGTGGTTTGCATGTACACGTCACGAAGCCGGAAGTGTTCAGAGAGCTGCATTGGCCGGAGGCAATCATCAACATCCACACGGTGCGTTTGGGGGTTTAGGAAGCTGTGGAGTCAGGGCGTTCTTTTGGGTTCAGGGTTGGCTCCATATGCCTCGAGGGGTTTCCATGCAGAAGGCCGAAAAGCCAATAACATATCAACACCAACAACAACACCATAAGGAAAATTAATGATGCTGTACTTAGACGCGGTAGAGAAGTAACAGCGCAACACGTATAACCTAACTACGCCGAGAAATGCCAAGTCTTCAAACCTCAGCTATTGGGTCCTCGTAAGAGGTCAGGACACCGGCAGCATTCCTGCCTTGTGTGAAGGCGGCGCGACGCTCATTTAGAGAAGGCTATCATTGTGCTGTGAAGTTTCAGAAACTTTAGTGACAGCTAACAGGTACAAATTCGCAATTCCCTGCTGCAGCCCTTAGCCCCGAAACTCCCGGACCCGGAAGCACAACACGCCAGGCCCTAAGCCCTCACTCCCAGAAGCGCCCAACCTTCAACCCTCACCAGGAAAACAGGAAGAAGCAGCCTGTTTTTTCAGGTCGCGTTTTCGAGCGTTTCACCATGTTCAGCCACTTGATTTTGCCATGTGCCCCGGCCGCTACAATTGCACGGTGGAAAGCTTGACTTGGCCTGGCATTTTCGGGCCGGCCCGTTTAGTCTCCAGCACCGTCAACTTCACTCTCGAGATGGATTCCCAAGCTCTGAGAGCGCTTCTCGGCCGCTTTGATTAGCAGGCCTCTTCGTCCATTTTCTTGACGTCTGGTCCTCGAAAAGACGCATGGATGGATGCAGCCAGTGTGCCAGTCTGCTGCGAGACTGCTGCTCGTGTGAAGGCAAAAGGCCGTGGTCTTTGCGCCAGTTCGTCAATGACTCTCTCTTGATCTATGTCGTCACTCATGCAAAGTCAACTCGGGATACCATGTCTGCTTTTGGTGGGGATGCGCTTGATCGGAGGCGATTGCACCCTCTGGCTCTGAGAGCTGCAGACGCTTCGAACACGCATACACATAATACCTTAGCTTTCCGACTTCAAAACCGACCGAAGAGATCACACACATATATATATATATATAAACTCAATTGCCCGTCTGTCCCTTTTGGTGAAGCGGCCCCGTGCTCTGCCAGGACATTCGCATTTCGCGGTTGGCGAGGCTAACGGGCGGCTGGCGATTGCTTTCACCAAAGAGAATGTGGCGTCTTCTTGTGTGCCCGAACATGCCCTATCGAGGCAGAACGTTCGATTAAGTAGTCGGCCACGTCCAAGTGACCGCTCTCGATGGCGAAGAAAAGCACCGTCCTCCTGGCCTTTCCTCGAAAATTCACCTCAAAGCCCAGATGCGACAGGAATTTCACGATCACGATGTTGCCGTGAGGGACAGCCCAGAAGAAACGTGTCTGCCCTATACTTCCTGAAGATTCACTCCCATTTCTATGCGTCGTTTTTGCCAAGAGTTCGGAGCCTCGATGAGCCTCGGCGGCATCCCCCCGAGACGAAAAAGAGAAAGTTCTGCTGAGGAGCTGCATACCGCCAGGACAAAGCTGCTTTTGCTCAGACCTTCCTGGCTTCACCATACCGACAGCTCATTTCGGTTCAAAGGGACAACTTTTTCGTTCATCCCTCCTGGTGGCGAAATGCATCTCTCGGTTTAATGCTGGGCCAATTGGAGCTTTGCGCCAGAGCATCTCGCGAAGAAGACCAGTTGAGGAGAGTCATGGGCCAGAAGAATATGCAACATGCCATCTGCCTAAACCTGCATATCCATCAAGCCAAGAAAAAGCATTGACTTCTTGCCAAGTCCAGCAAAAGCTGAGCCACTGGGCCACAAGCGCCTAGGGGACCTCGTAGGGCCCGTAAACACCAGTCCGGTCCAAGCACTGAGGCTCACAATGCGAAATCTGACAATTCTGGCTCAGACTCTTGATGCTCCCTTATATAGACCGATCTGTCAAGATTCAGATCTGCGTTAGACCCAAAGCATGGTTTAGGCTGCACAGAATATCGGTGCAAGAGGACTGGGCATCCGGACTGTCGGAAGCCGCTCTGCAGGAACAAACGGACTTTGGGGTGTCCTGAAACCAAAAGCTATCGGCCCAAAACACTCACGTCAGCATGTCCTCTGGCAGAGCAGGGAAGCCAACGTGAACGTCGCGTCCCGCGGGCGACCTGGCCCCGCTGCCCGGTTCCGCTGCATTGCAAAAGAACGCCGTGGGCCTGGAGATGTCCCCATGAACTCCCTCCTTCTCGGACGGTGCACTCGGATCCACCACTACCTCGCAGCGCGGTCTCAAGTTCACAAGCGCTGCAGATGTTCGATGGGCCTCCATGTCACGCATGTGTCTGTGATACGGGGGGAAGAGGCACCAGCACCTCACCCAAATGAAATCAAACAAACACCTGCAAAAGGAATCCGGATGCGCTTGAAAGATTGGGCATCCGGCCATCGCTCTTCGCACTCCTGTCGAATACCGGACACTGCTGTCCGCACTCGTACATGTGAAGGAGCTTTCTGCCACAGATGGCTGCAAGCCACCAGATTCCTCGTCATGATCAACGTTTTTCTCAACGAGCCTCGCTGCAGAGCTATGTGTGTCGACACCGTGTGCAGGACTCGGCATCATGTCACTGCTTCAACATGCTCAGCTCCTGACGGGAGTGTGCAGCCGACTGTGGCCCAAGGCTTTGCTAAATGGCAGCCCATGGCCTGGATGGCCACTACTGCAACTTGCACATCATCTCAGAAGGTGCGACATTCATGACCTTTCTGCCCACTGAGCTTGGCACTGCCAAACTCCCAATTGACAGGAGACTCCCCACCCAATCATGATGAATTCATGGTGCCTCTGAACTAATGCTCACATTGACGTGAGCATCACACAAAGCCAAGCCAAACAATCGTCATCCTGCTCTGACGAGCCATAACAAGCTACTCTACAGTGTGCTGACACATCCTCGCCTTCTCTGACCCGCAGCACACGATGCCACAGCTTGTGCTCTCTGTATTAATGATTTCCGGCATCGCTGGCCTTTGCCAACGTGGGCGAAGTGGCACAGCTGCAGCCACTTGGAACAGAAAGGAACAGGAATTCAAATGAGGGCGACGGGGCTCTACTGTGTACAGACCACTCCTGGCAGCTCTCCAAGAGTGTCAGGAGTCCGAGGACAAGAAACTGCAGAGGATACCATGCCCAGTAAAAAATACTGATCCACGGCACGACTATCACTAGGAACGATGCAAGGCAACCGAATTGGCCATCACTGTGGCTGCATCCAGCTTCTATTTCTTGTGCTGCTTCTCGGCCAGCCTGTTTCGGAGGCTGCAACTAGCTCGTCGGTGTTGACAAGCTCTCTGGCCCGATGGAACGATGTCTTCGATTTTTCAGATGCGGGCCACTTTGGGTGTCAAGGTGCTTGCCCATACGAGCACTGTGAATCTGCATGTCCATGTGCACAAGCAAGCTGGCCCCATTTCTTCGAACGGGGAGAGCAATAGCTCACCTTAAAGTTCAAATGGAGGCTGGTGAAAAGTTCTGTCGGCTGTACTGATGAGAAAGACGCTGTTTGGTGCATCTCCTCACGCTGCTTCAACAATGTCTACTTCGAATTCCTGCAGTTGTGAGTCCTTGGACTCTTTTTGGTCCTTCGGCTCTTGAAACTTCTGCAAACACTGCAACAAAGGAAGATGTTGTTCCGCTATGGCGAAATTCTGAAAGACGGAGACAGCTGCTGGGCTGGCCGTGGCACTGCTTGCACGGCGAAGCTTGGCCGCAAGAGCCTCCGAGGTTCCCACAGACAGAAAGAAAGGCCGATCCTGCACCGCCAGCAGCAAAGCCAGATGAGATGCATGGCTTAGCTGCTTAGAGGAAGCTGGAACTGTCAAGAGGGAACCCGAGGAATCCCATGAATTGCCGGTGTCATCCTTTGCCACCTCCACCTTCAAGCAGCGGAGAGACGGGAGCAGGTAGCCCACAGCCAGAAGATCTCGGAGCCCCGTGCTGCAGAAGTGGCGCGAGACGCGGATCAGACCCTCGATGCGCTGCCCGGGCCGTCTGCTCATCCGCCCCAAGGCAATGTTAGGACTTCGCACAGAGAGTCGCTCTAAACCTGGTGCCAAACGAGCAAGCACTGAGAGGTCGCATCGACAGTGCGCAGAATGCCATGTGGATCCACTGCCCCTCACCACGGCAACAAAGCTCAGGTCACGCAACTTTTGGAGCGGTAAGAGCTCCTCGCCTAAGGAGCCCGAGCCCGAGGTCCCTCTCGACTGCCGCTGCGGGCCCGGCTGCGAGCCCGAGCCCTGCGCTTCCTCCCGGCCACGTGGGGACAGAGCCGCGAGCGGTAATTCTAGGGGGACCGGCACTGGCAGCCGTCGAGAAGCGGTGGAGGCATCTGAAGGTCCTGCAGCCTCTGCAGCATTGGCAACAACCTCAGCATGTCCCTGGCTGCTTGCTGTGCCCGCTGCGCTGTTTGCAACGCTGTTTTCAGCGCTGTCCGCAGCTCTTCTCGCTGTGGTGTCAGGGACGTCCAGCTCGACATTTCGATCCAGCCACACAACCTCATCCTCGGAATCTGTGGTCTCATCACAGGCCTCTGCGTCGATGTCCGAGGCCTCCACTTTCAAATAGTCACACACCAACCTCTCCAAGTTGGGAAAGCAGGCCAGCCACGAAATGGGCAGAGATGCCATGTGAGCTCCAGTGTTGTGCGAGAAGCTTCCCAAGTTGAAATACGGGTCGCACTCGATAACCAAAGAACGCAAAGCAGGCATCTGACATTTTGATTGACAGAAATGTTCAAGATCACGTCCTCGAAAACCACTAAGGCATAACTTCTCTAGATTGATACATTTCGCGAGCTGGGGAAAGGACAATGAATTGGAACCCAGGCGATTCGGCCCATGTCCTGCAATTCTCAGGCATCGCACGCTTGCTCCGAACCTCTTCAGAAGACAGCTCAGAAAGAGCAAGTCTTCTGGCTCCGGGGCCAGACTCGCCCATAAACAAGGCTCCAAGACAGCCTGCGCAAGTAAGCCGAAGTCTTTGCAAGCACTCTTTCAGACTGCACTCAGAACTAGAAGATCGCAAGAAAAGCCAATGCCTCCTGCCAGCGTCGAGATGTCACCGCGCAGCGCAGACGGTCGCTGAGCGAGCTGAAAGCCAGGCAGTTGCAAAGGACATCAAGCGGCACGGGCACCGACGGCATAGACCGTTTCATTAACGACCCTTCTAGCCTTCGAGCACAAGCCGTGCTGAATCTTTCTCATGCGCCAAGCTGGCTAGAAAAGAGAACCACTTCAACCTCGCAGACAACCCAATGCACTCTTGCTTCTGCCTTGACTTGGTTTGCAGCTCAAGCGGCAAATGGAAAATATTGCCGGATTGTTAGACTGCTAAGACACACAAGCAGGCAAACTGTTGCGGTGCGTGAGTGTGTGAGTGTGTGTGTGTGTCTGTATGTATGTATGCATGCATGCATGCATGCATGTATGTATGTATGTATCTATGTATGTATGTATGTGTTTGTGTTTGTGTTTGTGTTTGTGTTTGTGTTTGTGTTTGTGTTTGTGTTTGTGTTTGTGTTTGTGTTTGTGTTTGTGTGTGTGTATGTACGTGTGTGCATGTGTGTGTGTCTGCTTGTGAGTGAATGATTGATTGAGTGGGTGAAAGAGTGGGTGAATGTCTCTGTCTGTGCGCGTCTGTGTGGGTGTGTGCGTCTGCGTGTGTCTCTGTGTGTGGGTGTGTGTGTGTGTGTCTCTGTGTGTCTGTGTGTGTCTGTGTGTGTCTGTGTATGTCTGTGTGTGTCTGTGTGTATCTGTGAGTGTATCTGTGATTGCATCGTGAGTGTATCTCTCTGTGTGTGTGTGTGCACATCTTTTCTTTCTTTCGGCAGGGTTATGGGCGAAGGGGGAACCCCCCCTTGCCCTTCTTCGCCAGGGCATGAGAGGCTGTTTAGGCCCCCCGGCCACTAGGGCCCCCCATGTGTTATGGGGCTTTGAGGAGGCGTGAGAAGTTTTACATGTTTTTCCCCCCAGGTGTGTAAAGTGGAAGGACCGTGCAATATTACAACTATTTGTTTCCTGGGAGGGAGTAACATGTTACCCCTTGCCCTCTCTCTCTCTCTCTCTCTCTGTCTCTCTCTGTGTGTCTGTGTGTCTGTGTCTGCGTGTGTGTGTGTGTGTGTGTGTATGTATGGTTCTGGTTCATGAACCTAAGTGCGTCACGCCCCGTTACACGTCGTTTTCATCTTGCATGGGGACAAAGAGGGTGTAGGGAGCTCCGTCCAGTAAAGCTTTCCCTTACATCCCAAGAACACAAACCTGCTTTGGTCTGCTCCTGGGCCCCGTCGTGGGCAGCTGGCGGGACCTTCACACTCATTTTAAAGTTCATCGCATTTCGTGCTTTGTGATTTGCTTGTGTCTGACACAGTGAAAGAAAGCAGGGCCTACACGCTCAATTCTTCTTGGTTTGCATGCCGTTCTCTGAGTCTGGCAGACATGGTACCAAAGTCTTCATCTCATGTTCGCTTTCATCATCATCAACAACATCATTTTGTTTCACGTTGCCAACCATGAGTACGCCCAGCTTGTCGTGTTCGTGTGTGTGCGTGTGTGTGCGTGTGTGTGCGTGCGTGCGTGCGTGCGTGCGTGCGTGCGTGTGTGTGCGTGTGTGTGTGTGTGTACGTGTGCGTGTGTGCGTGTGTGCGTGTGAGTGTGTGAGCGCCTGAGCGCGCATGTGAGTGTGAGTGTGT